TGGGATGGACCAAACAGGTTGGTAGAGCATGTAAGTAGCCAGGGAAGTTGATGTACGCTAGTGAACAACAAGACCAGACACTGAGGTGGTGATGGGTAGGTGGCTTTATACTGTGACTGATTGGTGCTGACAGGTGAAGTGCATCAGAACTCTGGTGATTTTGAATGAGCGGGTGGAGCTGAAGGATCTGGCGTTGCTGGTGACTCTGACACAATGTTGTTCAAAATATATGTAAAATTTTTAATTAATGTTGAAGTACTAAAATTACTCAAACAAATTAATAAATAAAAATTAATAATAAAAATAAAAAGGCTAGTCAAAAATGTTTTAAATAAAAAGAAATAAAAATGACAAAACCACCTACTTTACAAAAACAAACTAAAATTAAAATGTGAAAATAAAAGCTATTTTAAAATATAAATAATAATTAATGGCATAACAATATATAAATAATACTAACACTGACATCAGTTATATAAACCATGCTGGATAAGACACCAGGGTGTGTGTAGATTTTCATTGTCAATATCTAATCTGCTCCTGATGGATGCAGTTTAAAGTTTACATTTTTCTGTTCAGTTGAGCATTCTGAGGGTGTATTTACACCTGTCTTGTTTGGTTAGATTGAATCGAACTTAAGTTCGTTTCCCCCCTTGGTGCGGATCTTTTGGGCAGGTGTGAATACAGCAATCGCACTCGAGTGCGGACCAAACAACCGCACCGAGACCCAGCTGATGAGGTGGTCTCAGTCCGGTTCCAAATGAACTCTGGTATGCTTGAGAATTTCTGTCCAATGAATGGATGACCTTAGCACAAGAGTGGTTTTGTTTACAATTTCTGGTTCACTTGCAAAAAGGGAAGTGTGAAAGCGAACCACACCAAACAAAACAAAAAATCAACATTGTATTTGGTCCGGACCAAAGCAAGTGAACTAACGGACTTTCCTGGTGTGAATACACCCTGACATATAAATTTCTGCCTCAACCAATGGCATGAGTTTGGTGGAGGAAACTTGTTTGGAAAAGGTTATTTTTCCAAATCCATTTTGTTGTTGCTAGTGGTGCAGAAATTATACACCTCACCTTTCAGCTCTTGCATTGCATAAAAATCAAATAATCGTCAACAATTTAGGGGACAAAGCTAGAGGAATGAGAGCTGGCAAACACTGATGAATGAAAAATAAAAAAAGGAGAGAAAAATGTGTGTGAGACACCTCAATCAGTAAAGGGCGACCCCTGTGAGAAAAACACAGCAGGCCCAAATGGAAAACCTCTGGAGAAGCAGCCCAGAACCTGAGAGGCAAGACAATTCATTTCACACTGGCTTACTCCAGATGTAACACACTAGAGGAGCTGATTTATACACACACACACACACACACACACACACACACACACACACACACACACACACACACACACACACACGGACACACATAGTTTCATATGCTGCTTCCAAAACCAGAGAGGCAAAACAGAGCACATGGGCTCCCACATTGGCTGTCAATACTGTTTACCACATTTCCATCAGAAAGTGGGAGCAATAGCAGCAGATGAGCAGCCAATATAGGCTCATTAATCATTGTGATTGGTGAATGAACTCTGTCTCTACACCGTCAGAGCAGGAGGGATAAACACCTGTGTGGAGATGCAAGTGGTTGGCCAGATGTTGAAGGATTTTAAGGAGAGATGTTGAACAGAACGTAGTGAGCACAGCTGTATATGGCAAAAGAATGAGATACAGATGACAGTACTCACAGGTGGCAAGACTTGTTTTTCCATGAACTTTTTGATCTAAATTATTTTGCTTAAATGCTTAAAATAAATGTAGCAGACAATTGTAAGTTGTGCCTACATATTTTTTTATATTACTGCACAAAACTTCAATAGATTTAATTAACTTACTATTTAATCAGCTATTATTTATTGTTTCGCCACTACACAATTTCTATACTTCAATGTGTTATTTTTTTTAAATAATAATAATAAAAATAAAAGATAATTATAAATATTAAAATTTGAATAGCACTTTTCATGCATGCAATACAACTCAAATGGCTTCACAGATCAGAATAAAACATTATAACAAAATAAATGAGAATAATTAAAATAAATATATAAATGTAAATTGTGCCTATACATATTTTTTTATAATAAAAGTAATGTCACTTTTTTATAATTAGATTTTTTTATTACTTCACTACACAATTCCCATACTTCCATTTGTGTTATTCCTTAGTTATAATAATAATAATAATAATAATAACATTAATATTAAACAATAAAATGATTTGGATAGCTCTTTTCTAGCACGATGCAGGTTAAAGAGCTTCACAGATTACAATATAGAAACACTAACAAATTACAGTGAGTCTATGATTTCATTGTTGACTTTATTACTATATTCTACATTTGATAATATATCATAATATAGTTTGTCAAACATTTGACTAGTACTGTGAATGATCTGTTGAGAGAGTAATGAAAAAATTACGAAAGGAGTGAGACCGAGAGAGATTTAAAAAAGTGTGGTATTAAACTGACCTTCAGAAAGACAAACTTCTCTTTGATCTGGGAGCAAGAGACAGACTTTAACTCCAGTTCAAAGCTTGCCTACTCTAGACTCAACAAACCCTTTAGGAATAAAAAAAAAAAAGAAAAAAAAAAAACCTACAGCCTGGTTTGCTCACATTCCTCCATCTGGATGGAGGCATACTTATTTAATTCCTGTTTGTTGAATCACAAGCGTCATCATAAATTAGCCCCACACAAACACGCTTTGAAGTTTGTAAGAGGTCATGCACACAAACAAAACCACGAGTCCCGGATCAAAACACATAGAGACAACAGCAGAACCAATAGCAGAACTTCCACCTGCACTATTCACCTGGAGCCTTTTTGATAAAAAAAACCTACAGCCTGGTTTGCTCACATTCCTCCATCTGGATGGAGGCATACTTATTTAATTCCTGTTTGTTGAATCACAAGCGTCATCATAAATTAGCCCCACACAAACACGCTTTGAAGTTTGTAAGAGGTCATGCACACAAACAAAACCACGAGTCCCGGATCAAAACACATAGAGACAACAGCAGAACCAATAGCAGAACTTCCACCTGCACTATTCACCTGGAGCCTTTTTGATGTGTGTGTATGTGATGTGCCGACCTGCAGCTGCGTTTGTGCACGCGGCGTTGTCACAGTCAGACTGAGAGGTCTGACTGAGCCTCAGCCAACCTGATGAATTCCTTTCAAATCAACATGTAGCCTTCCAGATGGGCACCAGTCACTATGTTAAAACGGGCTATGATACAGGCCTTAAAGTAGGGATATGCAATTAAACTTCCAATCTTTAAAGTTCCTTCTCAAGTCCAAAAAACTCGTTTGTATGCTAATAGCCACAGGTGAGCATAAGAAACTTCTTTCAAAAACATAAAAAATGTTAATGATTCTAATCTTTTGACCTATGGGGTGAAAATGTATCTATTTATTTATTTATTTATGCAATCAATTATTCTTTTTTTTTTGTATGTTTTTGAAAGAAATCTCTAATGCTCATCAAGGCAGCATTTATTTAATCAAAGATACAGTAAGAACAGTGATATTTTTTTAAATATGTTTAACCTTTCAAATAACTGATTTCTATTTTAATATAGATTCAAAATTAATTTATTCCTGTGATGGCAAAGTCATTACTCCAGTCTTCAGTGTCACATGATCCTTCAGAAATCATTTTAATATGCTGATTTGTTTCCGTAAGAAACATTTCTTATTATTACAAATGTTGAAAACCGTTGTGCTGCTTAATATTTTTGTGGAAACCATGATACATTTTTTCAGGATTCTTTGAAGAGAAAGTTCAAAAGAACAGCATTTATATGTAAAAGTCTTTACAGTCACTTTTGATAAATATGTTTAGTGTGTGTATATATATATATATATATATATATATATATATTAGAAACCTGGTGAGAAAGTGAGAAAGCGACTGGAGCGGGATATGTTTTCAGTATCAATCACACTTTGTTCTCTTTGTCAGTGATGGTGCATTGTCCTCAGTGCGCCGTGGCCTGTTTCTCCGCTCCTGTCCTCATCGATCCATTTGCTTCAACAGCTCCTGAGCAAGCTCATCAATCTCTCTGTGTTTCTCTCCCAGACTGCACTATCAGGACATCACTTGTGTGGGAATGTGCAACAGCATGTGGACACACGCACACTCACACACAAAAATGCAACCCCCTTCTCAGATGGCCATATGTTGTGCATTTAACAAATAAGCCAACACATTGAGCCTCACATGCAGGGATTACATGTCCGTTTCCTTGCACAATATCCTTTTTCCCTTGTTACTGGTTTAATTGACATGCTAAGCTCACTCTTACCCTTTTTCTCTCCATTCCTTTCCCTTCAGCATACCTCTCACCTCTAAAACAACTCTCTCTGCTCATATTCATCTCTCCCTCTTCACTGCTCTCTTTAAATCTTTCCTACTTTCAAGGCAGAAGTGAGAGAGCAGGTGAGCGAGTGATTTACAGCGTCTATATGAAGGGAGCATTGGATCACTTCATAAATCTCTGGCTGCGCTAATGGCTGCTCATAAGGGCTGTGGCCATAAGTGTCTAGATTTTGAGACACACTACTTTAATAGAGTCTAAATAGCATCTTATAAACACACACACACAAAAAGAACAACTTTCTCAGCACAGCCAATATACAACATAAGATAAAAAATTGAAACTGCGTGGCAGCTATTGCATAAATACACGGTCATGCAGCAAGGATCTGATGGATATGGCCTCTTTACCTCAGTCACACTGCCTGGAATTATTGTACTGTAGGAAGAGGCTCAGATGCTTTGCAAACTGCCGCCACACTTCATCCATCTCTCCAATGCTATTCAGTAGAATCTGAGCTGATGCTGAGATGTTGAGAAATGCTTACTGATAAGTTTGTGATTATTTGTCTGAGGCTAGTGTGCGGACAGTACTCTCTTCCTCTCACCTTGTTCCTCTCAAACAGCTCACACTGGATGGTCTTGAGGTCGGTGTCCAGGGCGCTGGCGGCCTGCCTGCGTTTGCGTGCCAGCTGCTCCTCCAGGTCTTCCATCTGGGCACGCAGCTTTTTGTTTTCCCTCTCCAGAGCCAGCTTTTCCGTCTCCAGACGCTCCCGACGACCCCACTCTGCTGCGTTCTCCACCTGCAGACGTTCCATCTGCACATATACACACACATATTATACATAAGATAGTGAGGGAAGTGGGAGACATGACAACACATTACAAAGCAAAAATTTAATGAGGACAATAAAGTAATTTTTGTAAATAAATGCTTACTACCAACATTTCCAAATCTTTAACACAAAATTTTTGCATAATTGACCCTTCGCAGGGAGTTCGATTGACAGGCGATCAATTAACTAAAAAACAAAATATGCATCATAACCATTTAAACTGAATGTAAATGTTCACAATGGTCTAATATTTTTTCATGGAGCGTAGGTGAATTGTATTCATTTATTTATCCATGTCTGTACAACACAGTCTGTGGTCAGGAAGATTTTTTTTAATGCTGAAAGAAGCCAGCTATGCTAACTAAGTCTGCATTTATTTGATTAAAAACACAGTAAAAACAGTAATATTTGAAATTATATGATTTTAAAACAGTATTAACCTTAGAAAACTTTAAAAAAAATATTTTCAAATATATTTCATACAGTCTTATTGTTCATTTAGGAATTTCCCCCACTTTTTTCGTACAAAATGCTACTACTTTAGTTTTATTTTTTTATTCCGTTAAATTCAGTAAATAAATACTTTTAAAAGAAAAACTGTTTTGCAGAAATGTCAAGTAAATTTTTGTCATGTTAATTTTTTTTCACTTTGAAATACACACACTCACACAAATAGTTTTATTATGTAGGTTTAGGTTCCCAAACCAGCTTGTTAAGCTGCTTTGGAACCATTTGTTTCGTAAAAAGCATTATGCAAATAATTTGGACTGAATTTACTGCAATTAATTTTTTGTTGCACTTGGTCTAACTAAAACATACTAAAAATGCTAATGCAAATACTGTGTGCAAAACTCATAAAATAAATAAATACATAAAATATGAAGAGACAGTATATCACTTGCACATACCCACGATCAGGAAGGACTAATGCTGCATTAGCACACAGCCCCCCCTACTAGACCAGAATGATGTTGAACTAAGTGAAGGGCTCTCCATGATTTCCCAGTTCTGACCTGCTGCTAAAAGCAGCTTAATGGGAAACCATCATCTCTAGATTTACCTTAAGTGCTGGCTGACTTTCCTGGCATACCCCAAACTCTCTCCAGACCAACTGGTCATTCATATTTCTATAATGTCTGATTGCTGATATGAGGCAGTGCCTGTGAAATGTCTTGATTCCTCAGGGCAGAGATGAAGGGAGGTCACTGTGGGGTTTTGGAGATGAGGGGATGCAGCGGATCTGAGCCGACACATGGGAGTGGCAGTGCTCTTTATGGAGCGCATCAAAGTGCATAATGTCACTCTCTCCTGCCAGGTTCATCTCAGCAACACCCTGCTGCTAACACTGCATGCTGGGAATGTGTTAGAGCAGCGTTCTGTCATTACGCCAGCTTGACTAACAGAGGGTGCGGTGCCTGGTGTCGTGCTAGTCAAAATGCAGGAAGACAGAGGATGGATGTTAAAGCCCTGAGGGTGTTTAGCTTTGATGTAGATCACAGTGTGTGTCCTGAGGTGACACTGAACCGGCTGTGCCATGCAAAACAGTGCAGTATGGGTAGGATACAGAAAATGTACATGCATTTCACCTCTGTACGGAGCTCCGCCAGTTTTTTGTCCATGCTAGTACGAGCCCCCAACTCGTCCTCTAGATCTTCAGACATGCGGCCCAGCTCATCCTGATGCACCTCTTTCAACAAGTTCAGCTGCGTGAGAGATCGAAAAAGACAAAGAGAGTCATTCTTTTATCTCTGAACTTCTGATCTTGAGTAAAACTTTCTTCCCTTTGCTTTGTTGGAGGTTATCTATGGTATTCAAATAAACTACTAGTTCTGACTATGCCAAACTATGCAATACTCCGAAGATGCCATTGATATTCAAACAGATTTAACATTCTGATTGTGAATGAGTCTGCTTTTTAAATTAATTTCACAGTTGATGAAACTCTGTGAAACTGCGCTCATTTAATACAACTTGTACCGACATTCTGCGGCAATACGGTCTAGCACATTTGACATTAAGGGAGAGGGGCACTACGGTCAAAGTCTGATCTCTCTACAGCGTCTCACACTCGGCGTATTGTGACTCAAACACATTGATTAACATTCGCTGCAAGTCGTGAGCTCACACAGCTGGGCTGGCGACAGGCAGCTCATCTGTTAAACTACTGAGTATGGCGCACACTCTCTTCCTACTCATCATCTCATGGTATTCATGCACATCCTTAGGGGTTGAGGTTATTAAAAAGAGAAGCACATCTCTTCCTACTCATCATCTCTCTACTATATGCCTATGACGAAGTCTAGGTGTATGATGGTGAATGAGTCCCTTATTCTCTCTATGGAAGGCTTGCATTGAGAGTGAAAGTTTCTCTGGGCCCAATCAGTGCGGCTGTATTCCATAAAATTGCCTGACTGAAAGAAATCCTGAGCAGCAAACTCTAATCATTCACAAACAATGCCAGACTGTCTCGTTCATAGGTAACAACTGTCCCCTAGTGGTGCTCTATTAGAGCTGCATCCTTTGCAGCACCCTATACAATTTTTACATTCATTTTTCTTTAGTTTGGATACATCTGACTGAATTAATGCTCCTCATGATCTTAAATGTTTGTGGTTAAATGCTTGAATTTTATATTTAAAAAAATAAAAATACTCAAAAACACATCATCACACAAATATAATTTTGTGTTTGTATTTTGTCAGTCGGGAGTTTTGACACCCTTGACAGAATTTATGCTTATATACTATTATACAAAATATACATATTCCAAGTCAAAAGACAAAAAAACACTATCATTCAACAGTCTGTGGTTAGAAAGATTTTTAACGAAATTAATACTTTTATTCAGCATGGATGCATTTTATTGATCAAAAGTCAAATTAAAATTTATAAAATTCTATTTCAAATAAATGCTGTTCTCAACTGGAGGGCTGTAACCCAAAACTATCCACAAAAATATTAAGCAGCACAACAATTTTCAACTTTGATAGTAGTAAGAAATGTTTTTTTGAGCAGCAAATCAGTATATTAGAATGATTTCTAAAGGATTATGTGACACTGAAGACTGGAGTAATGACTGCTGAAAATTTAGCTTTACCATCACGGGAAAAACTGCATTTTCAAAAATATTAAAATAGAAAACAGTTATTTTAAATTATAATATGTCACAGTATTATTGTTTTTATTTTATTTTTGGTAAACGGTAGTGTATATTGTGTAGGAAAACAGCCAATAATGAATACTGTTTAAATAGCAAGTGGATACATCATGAAGTTGAAAGAAAGTGTGCAGAATTACACTACTGGAAAAGGGACAACTAAAATATAAAACTATTTTAGTCTTAAGATGATTTGGTCAAAACATAATTCAGTTTATTTTACAGTTTGGATGATTATTATTTATATTTTCCAAATTATTATAGTTCCACATTTTAGAAAAGTAGCAAAGAAAGAGTAGGTGTGTTTAACATTCTGCCTTTTATTATGTCTTTGAAGCAGGAATGACTGTATTTGGAGGATTTTATAAGTCAAGAATATGATATCTGGAAGTGAAGGTGAAGCACTGGGTTTTGATGAACACGCCACCAGAGCATTCAACCCAGTGCACTCACCATGCATTCTTCTTACTGATTAAAGCTCTGACTATAAATTGCCCAGAGGAAATTGGACAAAAGGTCAAGGATTCCATGCTCTTTTAACATGGAAGTGATGGAGACCAGTTCCTCATGAGAATATCATGTGTTACAGTGTTCCTGGCTTCAGCAATTTATCTGTTATTTGTAAATTAAACACGATCCACAAATAACAAAATCCAGCATTAAAGCCAGAATACTAATGTTGTCAATTAAGGCTCAGCAATGGGTGTCTTGACTTGACGGCCAAAAGCAAAAACAAATTGCTTATAATACCATAATTCAATAAATGAAGCCAGTAAGCTAAATGTTCCACAGCTGCTACAAAGCTATTTGTCTTTGAGTAAGATCTATTGCAGGTTCCTGAAGAATTATTGCCATAATACACTATATGCATTAGAAAAAAATCGGAATAGTTTTTCCAACCTTTTGACAATATTTAATAGATCTCAGTATTGATAACTTTATATATTTATGACTGTGCTGAAATGAACCAAAAGGGTGATTTTTTGCAATCAGAGGAACTGTCATTTCAATCTAACAGTCATAGTTGCTCAGTAGATTCACAATATTTAATGCATATTATAAATCTAGTTAAAAGTAATCAAGGTATGTTTTCCACACCATTTGTCACTAAATGAACACAAGGTTATAATGTTGCTTGATTTTACATCACCAGCTAAATCACTGTAAATATATGAGGAATATTCTATATATCTTTCATTCCTAACAGGCTTTAAATGCATAGTTGACCTAAAAATTTAAATTCTGTCATTAATTGCTGACCCTCATGTCGTTCCGTACCCGTAAGACCTTCGTTCATCTTCGGAACACAAATTAAGATGTTTTTGATTAAATCCAAGAGCTTTCTGTCCCTGCATAGACAGCAAGGGAACTACCATGTACAAGGCCCAGAAAGGTAGTAAGGACATCGACAAAATAGTCCATGTGACATCAGTGGCTCATCTGTAATTTTATGAAGCAGACAGCAACGCAACTGACATGTTCAAGGCACAGAAAGGTAGCAAGGTCATCGTTAAAATAGTCCACGTGACATCAGTGGTTCAAGCTTAATGTTATGAAGCTACAAGAATACTTTTTGTGCGCAAAGAAAACAAAAATAACGACTTTGTTTAACAATTTCTTCTCTTCTGTGTCAGTCTTCGACGTGCGTTCATGACAGTACCATGACGCATACGTGTGCATTCCTCTGCTTGTAAACAAGGCGCAGCGCATCCGGGTTCTAAGTCAGAACGCCAGCTCCTGCGTCAGCAGCACCACACGCATGCGTTGTGGTACTCCTGTGAACGTGCGGAGAAGAAGAAATTGTTGAATAAAGTTATTTTTGTTTTCTTTGCACACAAAAAGTATTCTTGTAGCTTCATAAAATTAAGGTTGAACCACTGATGTCACATGGACTATTTTAAAGGGTTAGTTCACCCCAAAATGAAAATTATGTCATTAATTACTCACCCTCATGTTGTTCCAAACCCGTAAGACCTCCGTTCATCTTCGGAACACAAATTAAGATATTTTATGATATGATGGAATCTGAGAGCTCTCTGACCCTCCATAGACAGCAACGCAACTGAAATGTTCCCAGACAGAAACGTAGCAAGGACATCGGTAAAACAGTCCATGTGACATCAGGGGTTCAACTTCAAATTTGCGAAGCTACGAGAATACTTTTTGTGCGCAAAGAAAACAAAAATAATTTATTTAACAATTCTTCTCGTCTTCTGCCATTTTGGAGAGTACTCAAGAACGTAATCTGCGTAATCTGCGTGGTTTATGTTAGGGGGGAAAGTGCGCGCATGAACGTAATCAGCGTAGTTTACACTTAGGGTAAAGCGTGCGTATGCATCGTGATACTCTCCAAAATGGCAGAAAACAGTAACTCAGGGGAGAAGAATTGTTGAATAAAGTCGTAATTTTTTATTTTCTTTGCGCACAAAAAGTATTTTCAGAGCTTCGCAAAATTGAAGTTGAGCCACTGATGTCACATGGACTGTTTTACCGATGTCCTTGCTACGTTTCTGTCTGGTAACATTTCATGTCTATGCAGGGTCAGAGAGCTCTCAGATTCCATCAAAAATATCTTAATTTGTGTTCCGAAGATGAACGAAGGTATTACGGGTTTGGAACGACATGAGGGTGAGTAATTAATGACATAATTTTCATTTGGGGGTGAACTAACCCTTTAACAATGTCCTTGCTACCTTTCTGGGCCTTGAATGTGGTAGTTGTGTTGCTGTCTATGCAGGGACAGAAAGCTCTCGGATTTCATTAAAATTGTCTTAATCTGAGTTCCAAAGATGAACAAAGGTCTTACGGGTTTGGTTTGGCACGACATGAGGATGAGTAATTAATTTTCATTTTTGGGTCAACAATCCCTTTAAGACAGAGTCTGCCAGGAAAATAAAAATGGGATTGTGTTGCTCTGATTTGAGATGATTCTTCATTGCTGTGTTGCTTCTTGTTTTATTGTTGTAAAAGTCTACAGAATAAGCTTCCTCACCTGTTTTAGAGCCTCTTGTTTGCTCTTGTTCAGTTCCTCATATTTGAGTTTCCACTGGCTCAGCTCTGCCTCCAGCTTCTCAATGTTCTTAATGAGCGCATGCTTATCCCTGACAGAGACACGACACGTTGAACATCCACAATATAGATCATTATCATCATCAAGTCCAAACAGATTGTTCTCAAAAGATCTGGTCTACTGAGATGCTTCCAGTGGGTGATTTCTCCAAAGTCAACAAAGATATATCCGTCACTGTATATCATAGGTGGTGAAGGATACATCTATGCTGACCCTGTCATTTTTATGAGAAGCTCCAAAAAGCCTTTGATTTCATTTGTTGAGTTCTGGTCTATTTCATGCATGTATTGTTTCCACCTGGACAATGATCTCTTACTCTCGTTCTTTCAGCAGGACTTTCTGGGACTCATCCAGGCGCAGCTGGAGAGCGTTGAGCTTGCTAGAGTCCTCCTCCAGGGCAGCCAGATCCTCCCACAGCAGTCTGCTCCGGTCCTGCCGACTGAGAACTGAGCGCAAGCTACTGGCACTGCGAATGTCCCAAGAGTCTGGAGCCTCTGACTTTGCCCTGAGAAGAGCCTCCAATAACTCCAACTCCTGACACAAAGAAAGTAAGAAAGAAAGAATGTTGTGCATCACAATTAAAATACTTCTAAATACTAGTGGTTCTAAACTGGAGGACCTTAGCACAAAAATTTGTCTGTTCAGACAGGGTAAAAAAAAAAAAATTAAATATACGTAAAAAGAAAAAGGACGTAATTATAGATTTAAATAAGAAATATGAAATAAGAGTTTTTTTTTATTTGATTGACACTTTTATACTTTTCTAAATAAAAGAAGGGGGGGGGGGCTGGTGGTTAGTTCATTTGCTACTTGGCAGCAGCTGGTCAAAATATGGCAATATGGAGAGGCTGCGTGGCATGACTTCATCCTCAAAAACCATGAACAAAATTACATAAAGAAAACTGAACCCAGACTAAAACAAATAGGAGTTCTCTTACAAAAAAGGAATAAACAAGGAGAGCCTAATATTTTAACTTAAAATTATATTAAGATTTTAAAGAACATTTTTGTTTAGTTTTGTATGATAAACAATTCTCATGCTGTGTTGACTTGCCAGTCGACTTGTAATGTAAAACCAAGGTTGCGAAGCGAAACCAGCTGAGAACCGCTGCCATAGTCAATGTTCCAAGACAAAGAAAACAAATGAAAAACATCAAAAAAACAAATGAAAAACATAAAAAAAACAAAAAAAACAAAGACTTTCATGTTTTCTTTTTCTCCTTATTAAACCAAACCACAGAAGAGGCATTTTCTGTCATTCACATAACAAATATCACATTGCACCTTTTCCTTATTTCCTGTGTGCATGAATGAAATTCACAAGCTCTTCGGAGTAGTAATAAAAAACGGCTTTACAGTTCAATGCACCATCCTTCCTCTTTCCTTCCTACACACAGTAGGGATTATATATCAAAGACATGGGCCTCAGGACTCAGGAGACAGACATGAGACACTAAACATGCTGCAAACTTCCTACGATCCCAGAACGGCCACAGTTGAGTAACTGAGATAAAAGCACAATGACACCTCCCTACCGCCAGGGGGAACCAAACGCATTCTAATACAGATAGAGTTCTACATGTGGAAGCACTCAGCATGCCTGTGTGTGGAGACAGATCAGGAAATGGGTTGGTATCAAACAATCCAGTGAGAGTCCAGACTACGCTAACTATTATTTGTTTACTTAGCTAAGATTGAATGAGGATGCCTGGTACTACTTTAAAAGATGGACATTTCTGTGCTGAATAATAAAAAAGCCAAAACCAGTTTTGCTCTCAGCAGGCAAATCATCACTGTTCACAGGAGCCCGAGGGTCTCTTTAGCTATCTAGGCTACCCCCTGTTGATATCTGTGCAGAAATATACATCCATCATGCTTGAGACTCTGAAGGTCGAGTTTGACACTGACATGAATTCTTCCTTCCCTCTCTCTGCTGGTGCGCTGTCTTCGCATCTGTTTGCTAACCAAAACAAAAAACAAAAAAAAAGGTGCATGCTAATGCGCACAGCAGACAAAACCACATTTGTGTGAGGTGTAATTCTCTTGATAGATTAGTTACAAACACATTAAGGGAATAACAGACATGCTTAAGCAAGTCTAGAAATGATAAAGGGGTTTCTGGCTAGTAGGAACTACTGCGGTACCCCTGGCTGTGGCCCCATAGGTAAAACACAAGGGGGGTTGTGCTGGGAGAGGGGTGGTTCTAATAATAGGACAAAAAATGAATCCAGCACACAAGCAAATAGCACAGACTCAGATAATGAAATCACAGGGAGATGCATTGAACCAGGTCTGTGGCTGACCTATTTACAACTGTCTACCTGTGTCCAGAGTGAACAGCATTGGTTATTCTGTAGGTCTGTTGTGTGGTTTGTGCATCTAGCTTTTAATAAAAAAAAAAAAATCATGTAGCATTTTAAAATGGTTTACAAACAATTTGCCTAGCCGGGTTTGACAAGTTTTCACATCATATTATATTAGACAGCATTTTCTCACTAACACTTTTGGTGTGCACCCAGTGTTCATTAAACATCAGACTTCGGTTCGTTTAGATTATGTGAATGCCATTTTCTGAATACAGGTGTGCACCCACAAACTATAAAAAAGTGGCCTGAGGTAACTGAGAACTGCAATGTTCGCAATCATACTTGCAGAAGTGAAACGCTTATTTATGTGTGTGCTCACTTAGGCTACATTGTGTTTGGGATTGACAATCGAATTTACTTACAGGTGTGAGTCTCGAACTGTACTATTCACATAGCAGCTTACATTAGTGCCTCGAACACTTTCTATATGAACGAGTAGCAGAAGTCAAGCCGTATTCTATTTGTGACTATCACCTAAAATCATAGCAACAGTGACTAAAGTAATATCAACCATGGCAAAGTCCATTAAACTGAAAAGTCTAATCACATTTGAAGTGACCATTCCAGTTGAGGGGCAAGTTCATCCGCCAAATCTTGGAAGCGGAGCATTTGAGCATCATGACACACAGCTCATATCTGCAAGTTTCCAAAACCACACAGGAAAACCCATAACACACGACATGCGCGTTAGAAGTCAAACTCTGGTTTGGACCAGCCATTCAAACCAAGTGTGAAAACTTTTTTGTCAACAATGAAAACATAACAGTACTTGAGGTAACAACATATTTGATGCTGAAAATACAAACATAGATTGCAGACCAATGAGATATGGTTAGGACTAGCCAACATGATGCCTCAAAAATGAAAACCAAGGGTCTGACAAAATGCCCTGATATGGTCAATGCGAAAGAGATTGATTTTTTTTTTTTTTTTTTTACGTTTTATTGCATCTCTCCTAGTTAGGACACAATGTTAGGCTCAGATTTCTTGTTTTTGGTTAAGGTTAGTGCACAAGCAAATTACTAAAACTACTTTTTCCACTGAGTCCCTTTCTACTCTGACAAAATGCTCATGCTGACCGTTGCATTCTGTTTCACTCCATGTAGCTGTTTTTGAGTGTCCAACTGGGAGTTACCAGGCAACCCATTAACTAGTCCTTTCTGAAAATATGTTGTTTTACACTAACCTTCTGCTTGTCTGGTTTGTCAGTGTCTACATCTCTCACAGGTTCCTGCTCTGGAGAGCCTGGCCCATCGCTCACATTCTCCTCATCCTGGTTGTCCTGCTTGATGTCTGGTTCCCGTGGCTGGTTGGAGTGTGTGGAAGCAGAGGAGTTGGATGCTGGTGCAGTGGAAGCATTCGCTGGGGAGTTCTGTTCAGCTAGGACTCTTTGGGCCTCTAGGCGCACTTGTTCGTTTTCTGCCGCCAGCTCTTGACGCTCTCGTCGTGCCCCCGTCAGCTCTTTGGTAAGGGCATCCAGACGTTGTCTAAGCTGCCTGACCTCATCCCGCGCCCTGTTGCGTTCGGCCCGCACTTTACTCCACTTTTCCCTCCAGTTTGCCGTGCAGTCCGACCACCAGCGCATTGTCTTCTCCATCTGAGCCGCCCGCGCCCGCGCCTCCTCCAGCTCACGCAGACGCAATTCCTCGCGGCTCTCCCAGTCCCCGCCTCCATCGCAGCCCAGCCCTGGAGACAGCAGCAGAGGAGGGCTGGAACTAGGCGTTCCCCCTGACGGGCTGGGTGTGTGCATCAGGCTGTCCGGGGAGCGCACCCGATCCGGGGCCAGGCCCAGACCGCACAACAAGCCCACCCCTGACTTGGCGGCCTCTGTCATGTTGGGGCTGGGTGTGTGGTTCATCACTGAGCCAATGATGAGTCCAGGGAAA